GAGCACAGCTGAATAAAGTATGTGACTTGGTCTTGTGTTACACTTTGCTTTTAAGTTTGAGGAAAGAAAGGAAAAAACCTATCATACTGGGGTTGTGATAAAACATGACCTTTCGGAAGCTTGATATGATATTACATCGTAAAGACACACGAGGGCACTCTAATCAACCAGCAAAGAGAAACAGAAAAGATTGTGAAATCAGGTTGACGTTTTAACAACTGCACCATAACAGGTGAATTAATAAGCACTGGTAAAATTGTGAATGTTTGCAATTTATAGCAAGAGATTTTCTATTCTTGATCCAAGTTCTAAGAAGCCAAAAGCATTCTGCAATTCTGTAAATGACAGAAATAATCTATCACTCTCAGATCCCAGGTGAGGAAAAAACACACCCCTTTCTAATGATTTGTTAAATTGACCTTGGGGCAGAATTTTTCCCTTGCAAACAAAGATCTTCTAGATCACCTACAATTCCACTTCGTGTTTTATTTGTCCTCCACTAGGAATAGTGGAGGACAAATTCTTTGCTCCATCTGTTTTCCTGGAGAAATGGTGTGTTAAAAGTTTAAGCCTTCCCCAAAAAGCCAGTAGTAACAAAACAGCTCTTTGTACAAAGGGGCAGAGATCACCAAAGAACATCTCCTGGCCTTCCTGAGTTTTAAATTTTGTAAATACAACTACAGCATACAATTTCCTCCATCAAATTCAAAAAGTATAGCAGAACAAGCATTTAAATGACCTTTCTTTCAGAACTGTAACAAAAGAGCAACAATAACTACAGAGAGCCATGGATTCTGAGGTAATCAGGTTCATTCACTAAGGACTATCACTAATTTTTTTTTTTTTCAAAGTTTCGAGAGAGAGCATGATTGGGTGGGGGGGGAGGTAGAGAGGGAGAAGAAAACTCCCTGCTGAGCAGGGAGCATGACTCCTGGCTTGATCCAGGGACCCCAGGATCATGACCTGAGCTGAAGACAGACACTTACCTGACTGAGCCACCCAGGTGCCCAGATTATCACTAATCTTAAAGTCATATTCAAATTTGTGTCTCAGCAAAATCATAATTTCCTGTCATCAATCTTTGGGGTCAAATATAAGAATTAAAATGGAAAGTATTAAAACTTTGAATGCCAAGGGTGTACTGTGGTTGCATAATAAATCTTTATTGACTTAATAAACTAGAAAACTCTATCTCTGGATCCATAGAAAGTGTGACACATGCTACATTCTTCAACTGCTTCTTACTATCTTATTCACTTTATATCTATTTGAATGACTAAATTCATGTTTCAAACTCAATTTGTCAACGTATTCAGTTTGTTTGTTTTTTTCGCCCCACAATGTTTTGCTAAGGACCCTGATGAATTCTAGTTTCTATCCTTTCCTGAAGTGGCCACCAGGGTATATATACCCAGGTAGGCTTAATTTATACTAATAACAGAACAGGCTCTAAAATATGATAATTTTCTTCTAATCTTCTAATTTTCCTGTTCTTTAAAAATGATTCTGGTTAACTGAAGGTGCCAATATACTTTCTACAGTTAAAAAAACTGCTGAATACTGCGTAATATTAGACAGTAATTAAAATCGTTTGAGTTGGTATTTTTCTTTTTTCTTTTTTTTTTTTTTAGGCAGAGAGGCAGGCAGAGAGAGAGGAAGGGAAGCAGGCTCCTCACTGAACAGAGAGCCTGATGTGGCTTGATCCCAGGACCTGAGATCATGACCTGAGTCGAAGGTAGAGGCTTTAACCCACTGAGCCACCCAGGCGCCCCTTGAGTTGGTATTTTTCCATGGAGATATCCAAGGAATATTTTATAAGTACAGCCGTGGTCTTTCCTTGGGTGTATGGAAAGCCACCAAGAGAATCATATGTGTAGTTAGAGAACTATAAATGGGATTACAGAGGTTAAATTGGGTAGTATAAAAACTAACCTGGGCACTCAACTTAGTTGGTATGGTCTGATATGGAGCCCTTTATAATATCAAGGAAGTTTCCAAAATTTAATTTTTTACCAATAATCTTTTTTAAAGATCTTAACTTAATCAAGCTCACATTTAAAGCTAATTTTAAAAACAACCTGGAATAAACCCTCCCAGTATGCACTCTCTAGCTTCCTTTCATTAAGAGATAACATATGCCAGGTACTTGGCAAGGTGCTGGAATCCCGGCCCTCATTAAGCAAAAGAGTCTTAAGGAAGGAATCTTGGATTCAGATCTTGGTTCTACTACTTTTCATCCGTGTAACTGTGAGCCACTTCGCTTTCCTGAGGCTCAGACTTTTTATCTGTAAAATGGGAATACTATCACCTAGAGCAAAGGAGTAAGTGTGACATACTGCACTGTACCTAGTACAGCACATGGCACACAATAATGGCTCCACAAAAGGTAGTAATTATTATTATTTTTACTCCAACAGATATTGCTTATTGTCATGATTTAAATAAACTCCTTAATATTTTCTTATCATTAGTCACAGGATTTGATAATCCTTCAGAGATTATTTATTCAACAACTATTCAGTGGCATCATACTATGTGTCAGGCCCTGGGAATATATGAAGGAGGACAGACATAAAACCAATAATTAATTACCAGTGCTACAAAAAGAAAATGTGCCATGGAAGCAGATAATGGGGGCAACCAATTCAAGGAAACCCTGAAGAAGTATTAAACAGAGACCTGAGATACATGAAGAAATAAGGCAGGCAACAAAGCATTGTAGGCAAAGCAACACACTTAAAGTCCCAGAGGCAAAAGCATGGTGAGCTGAAGGAACGAGAAGATGTGCAATATAATTGGAACCAGGGGAGCAAGGGAGGTGAGGGCTAAGTATGAGCCTGGAGAGGAAGGCACGCCATATTCTGCAAGCCAAGTTAAGAATTATAGGGCTTTATACTAAGGGCAAAGGAAGGTACTGAGGGGTTTTATGGAACTCTGCAATTTAAAACAACTTCTCAGATGTAGAGTAAATAGCGTGGATGGGGTTAAGATTGAACACAGGGAGATCATTCAGAAAGTATTTTTGAATTCCAAGTATCCCATGAAAAAAGCCAGTACAAAAGCAGTATTAGTGGGACTGGAGAGAAAGAGACTTGTTCAAGAACAGAGGAAGAATCAAGCAAAAAGATGTGGTCCTAGACTGAGCGTGGGGAAGGTATTCTGGGAGGTCATAATCTCAAAACAAGAATGTGCTCAATAAAATGTATTTCTGTGTTTCATGAAATAAATGTAAAGCATGGTTTATTTCTACATATTCCTGACGCAGTACACAAAATTAAAAATTTCAGGCTATGGGACAATTTATTTCAACTTTATCAGGCTTGCCACACACAAGACATCTAAGTGAGCATCAATATTTTTCAAAGCACTTTGCTATGTTGATGGTAATTCTGCAGAGATCCTACAAGATCATCTAACTACCGAATTAGTTTTAATATGTAAGACATGGATTGAAAGTAAAGAGGGAGGGACTACAGATAGAACACTTCCTCTTCCTAGGAGGCATATTTTGGTTCTTAAATGAGAAAATCAAGTTTCTACTTTTTCCTTCCATGTTTTCACATCTGTAAATATATTAAGCAGAAGGATATTATGAGGAAACCAAAGTATATATAAAGTAAATCTTGGCTCTCTGAGACTCTCAACCAAATGCATTATTATGGAAAAAACTGCTTCACACTTGCAAACTCTTTTCCACCTGTAATGTGAACCCTCTTCATGGAAGGCCCTGGCCTACTCCTCTTTCTTATCAGTTTAGAGTGCTTTCCAGGAAGCTGTCTTCCACCTCTTCCCCATCCATTATCCTCTCAATTCCCCAAACGCTGAACACGTTTTTATTTTACCATAAATTGCAATGAATTATTATTTTGGCTTTCTTTTCTATCTTCATTAAATTGCATGCTTCTATAGGGCAAGGCAGTGACTTTCAATTCTGCATTCTTAAATGTTTCACACTCGGGCCCAGGAACAAATTGCAGTCAGAGTTTACTGATCTGTGTGCCCTTCTCCCTACCTAAGGGCAGCCTTAAATGACAGCAGTGTTGGAGTTTAATCTACTTTAATACTTTCTCTGACTTCTTAAAAAAAAAAAAAAAACCGCTAACACTATGCAGAGTATATATCTGGAGAGAGACAGAGAGAGAGAATGTAAGCAGAAAAGTATGTTCAAATAAGAAAACAAACCTTTTGTTTTTGTATAAAAATCACAGAAAGTAAAGCTTGACATACTTGGCTGCAGGAACATTAATTTTAAAAGGCTGAGAAAGAGTATCTCACACCTCCTAATTAATGCTATTATTAATTCTATACAGGTAGAATAAACTAGTTAGACCTATGCACAAGCAAAACGGCCCAAAATAAAGGTCTGAGAAACTTTTCTATAAGCAAAGTGTTTGGGTTTTGTGATGAAAGACTTCTCCAGATACTGTTCCCTCTAACCTTGGCTCATGCAGTCCCTAGGGTGGAATGCCTTAACACTTCCCTCTCAGCCCACTGTATGTAGTGTTTAAGACTCAAATCCTCCAAAGTCATACCCTGACTTCGTCCTTCTCTTAAGTCCTAGGGCAGTTAGGATTCTATAGTACAAAATTTAATAAGTGATTACCCTCTGCCCAATATTTTCTACTCTCCGTTCAGATCTAACAAAAGCCGCCTCAACAACGGTAGGGAGAAACGCTGACCAAGTGCCAATAGCACGGAAAAGAAGTTAACCTGTTTCAACACTCACGTGGCAGCTGAGAAGTCAATCCTAGCTCATTAAGGCCCAACCTTAGTTCCGAGAAGAAATGCGACAGAGTCAACGTTTTATCTAACCAAAGGGACCCGTCAATGGATCGATAAGATCTCCAGGCAGCTGGGGATGCGGGCTAAGATTCAAACCTCCCCAACAACAGTAGCTTTCCTTGGTCCACCCACTTTCTACTTCCCTTCCCAAGGTGCAAACGAAGAAGTCCAAAAGGATATGGCATCACCTTTGCTCTGTGACCTAGGTGCAAACTCACCAGTTTCATACTGGACTTTTGGTTGTTCAGTACCAGACACTCCACTCCTCAAACGCAAAAACCGTCTTCCGGTTCAGTCACCGCCACCGGCCCGCCGAGAGCATCGCGGGACATGCAGTCCTTCTGCTCTACGCCCCCTTCCCGGGGCATCATGGGAAATGTAGTCGTTTCTCCATGAATCATGGGAACTGTGGTCCTCTTTCTTTTCCGTCCCTTTCCTCTCCAACGCCTCCTTCGGCCAGCTCAAATTCATCCCCGCCGCCAATTCATCCTCCCTCTGCACCCCAGCATGATATCATGTCCCGTTGCTGGGCCTGGGACCCATGGTATTCTGGGATGTGTAGTCCCCATGGCTCTGGAGACACTTACCCCTCCTCCCTGTGGGAAGGCGGATGGGCGCGGGACTTGCCGGGAGCTGTAGTTCCCAGGGGCCTCCGGATGCCGAGTCCCGAGCTTTTACTCAAGGGAGGCAAGAACTACAACTCCCAGGGCCGCCCGGCGGCAGCAGGTGGGAGCGGGGCTGTTGATATCAATATGGCGGTTGTCAGCCAGACAAAGACAGTCAGTCTGATGTGATTGAGACAAGGGTGGTTTTCAGGGGGAGACTGGGAGATAGGGGCCTCCCCTCCCCCTTCTCCTCTTCCTGCGCCGGCCTCAACCCCTCCCCAGTCCCCTCCCGACTGGCGCCCCACGCGGAAGACACCCCTCCCCCTCCCGCTTTCCCCTCCTCCCTGCCTCAGCCCTTCGTACTGGGACGTTGGGGAGGGGGCTGTGCCGGGCGGAGAGAACTCAGCAAGGATTCTGAGGTGAGTCGAGCGGTTTTGAAGCCGGACTACCTCAAGTCTCTTTCCTCACTTCTTTCTCTTCACTTTTTTTTTTTTTTTTTTGAGGGGTTTTGGGGAGTAAGTGAGTGGGCTGGGGATGGGTCTCTTAAGCGGCCCGATTGAGAGGAGGGAGGAAGCAGGGGGCTTCCGAGTGGTAACCCGGACGCAGGGTGTGGGGTGGGGCAGTTTGTGGGGGGCGGTAATTGAAAGGCGTCGGCTGCTCCCCAACTCTTTTCTCCTGCTTTCCTCCACTGTGGGCGGAAGGTTTGAATCCTGGAGGTGGGGTCTCCTGTTTGGAGTTTGGGAAACTGCGAGGTGAATTTGAGGTGTGAGGGTTTGTTTGGGGTTTATAACTGTGTTTTAAACTGTGTGATGTGTACTTGTGTGATATGTTAGCCTTGAATAAATGTCTATAGATAGGGAGTTAGATAGCTGGAGTCATAGCTTTTATCTGGGCCTGGACAGAGAAGCGTGCGTGAGGTCCGGATCCTGGACCTTTGGGCTGGCGACGTGGTCCGGGGTAGCTGGGGTTAGCAACTCGTTTGTGTCCCATTGCCCGCTCACACTTCTCCTCTCCGCCCCCTCCCCTGGACAAATCTCCACCCCAAACTCCGGGTTGAAGAATTTTAGAGATGAGGTGGTGTGGAGATGGATTTTTGCATCCTTAAGTCCATAGATAGGTGGGAAAGGAAAAGTGTTCTTAATATTTTATTCCGGAACCGTGTTTTGGTTACACTATTGGGGCTACTTTGAAAGGAGTCCTCCACCCACCTTCACCCCGAAACAGTAGGTAGATGTTTCTCGTCGTCTTCGTGTTAAATGCATTAAACATTACTTAAGATTCGGGGGCGTGTGGTGGGGGTCTGGAGTGCTGACATGGGTATGCGTCTCTGTGTGTGTACTAAAGACACAGGATGACTGTTGTGTATCTTGAGATAGGGAGACTTATTTTCGTACTAGGAAAAACTGTTGGAAATTATTTGGTGGCGGGGGGAGTAGCTGATAGGCGCAGCTTGTATTTTTCTTCTACCCCACCCTGTTCTGTCTCGGATTTGTCTGGAAGCTGGTGTGGAAGAGTGAGGAAGCATTGGGTGAGTGAAGGGTGGAAGGCAGTTGACATTAAAGATACTATATGAAGTTGAATAGTGTAAAGTGATTGCTGTTTTTTACCCTGAAGCTTTAAAAACCCTTATGTATCTAATAGGGTAGAGTGATGTGACTAGTTCATTTCTCTGGGATCCTGCAGTTATAGAAACCTCTCTTCCCTCCCTCCCTCCCTTCCTTCTTCTCTTCCTTCCCTCTTTCCTCCTTCAGTCCTTTCTTTCTTGGCATGCTGCATTTCTTTTCCCAGATGGACATGATGCCTCCTGTACCTGTTTATTTACTTTGTCCTAATATAGTTGTGCTTTTTGTGATTTTACTATAAAATGCATCATTAGATGAAAAGGACTTGCATTTGTTTCTACTTTGTATTTATGCCACAGGTAATTGTCACATCAGGATTGAAGTGCTTTGCATTAAACTAATTTTAAAATTGCACAACTAAGTTGTTGTTTGATCTAGTTGAATTATGTTTATAAGTCAAGTTTGGAAAATTTGAATTCTGATTTTTTTTCTCAAGTTTCAAGTAGAGTTATAAAGGCAAGAGGATTGCAACGTCTCTTTTTTCTCACAGGTGTAACATTACACCAGGATAATAAGACCATATATTTTGTAGTTTCTTCAGCCTGAAATAGAAGGTTTTCAATAGCACTTCTTCTGTGACAGTTTTTTTGTGTAATACGGACCTTTACATAACTAAAGGAATTGGCATAATTGCTCTTTTGACTATTGAGATATTTACATGTATGGCTCCACACTTAGCAATTCTCAAACCTATCAGTAAAGGATCTTAGATTCCCTGAAAGTCACATAGATACAGTATGCAGTTTTATGATATGCTTTATAACCTTTGATTTGAAATTTCTGCAGTTGATCATTCACACAGATGAGCTGACTAAAAATGTGAGGTAGTTTGTATATTTAGATTGACCTGAATAGAAAAAAAAAATTGATGTATGTGTCTTCTAAATCTCAAATTTAGAACATAAAATATGTTGATACAAAGCTGAACCTTTGGTTTGTTTTGGACTAGGATATCCAGAATTTTTTTTGTTTTAACCTTCCATCTTAACCTGAAATACTACTTTGCCATAACTGGAGGAAAATCCTATGTAACTACATAATAGAGTATATTTTTGCTGAAAGATATTCTGTGAGATGTAGAGTTTTTAAGTATTAGATATTTATTTTAGAAATTAAAAACTAAAATGTTTAAGGGTTGGAAAAATAAAACAGTATTTTCTCTTCCACCTACCCTTACCTCCAGTCTTCTTTTCTTTTGTGGAAGGGCAAAGTTACTTACTGGGAAAAGCTTTCATTAAACTTTTTCTGACTAGTAGTCTGGTTGAAATTACTACAAGTAAACCATATTCCTTGCATTTGGCGGGGGTGAATCTGTTGCATTTTAAGCACCGAGCATTAAAATGATGTAAAGCCTTTACTGCAGGTTAAAGCATAAAACATTGTCAGCATGTGGAAGTCATATGGTTTATGAAAAAAGTAGAAAATCAGGGCATTGGTGCCTGTCCAGCTTAAAATTTCATCCCGTAACTGTGAAAGACACATTTATTTTAATATGATTGCTTCTAAAAATGTTGCCTGTATTATGGGAAGTTGAGAATCCAAACTGTTTTTAACCAATCTGTTGCTAGTTTAGTGTACTGCATATCATGAATACTGTGGTTGCAAATGTGCATCAAGGAGCCTTTAGGGGTCAGCTTTATGTTGAGTGTCTGTAGTGAGGCTTCATTTTCAATGCTGTATGAACAGATTTCACTCTTCTTAGCACAATTCCTTAGTTGAAGCATCACTAATAGAAATATAGTAGCTCAGTAATGGTAAGTTATAAAATATATTACAACAAATCTCTCATTGTTTCATCATTTTTAAAAAAATAGAAGTAACCAGTTTGTGGCAGTTTTTGCGGCAAGTATGTATTGGAATGGGATTGCTTGTTTCAATAGATGTTGAACACATTGGGGATATTTATGCAATTCGTTTGGGGTCTTGTGTATGTTATATTCTGTCCATTCCACTTCTAAATGTTGCACACAGCTTCCATATTTCCTGTAATACCTCATTTGCTTTTTGGGTTCTTTTCTTTGCAGCTCTTGCTTCTATTATTTTGTATGCAGATCTTTAAATTTGAGTTATTTTTCTTGGAAATTAGAAATTTATCCCAGGATGTCATTTTTCATAAATGAAAGTTGGTGTACCACTCAGATTTTTAAAACTGTGAATGTTTATAGGTAAACTAGAAAGTGCTCAGTGAAAATATGTTGGGTTTGTTTTGAAAACCTGCTTTATTTAGGGGTTTTTTTTGGCTTCCAGAATTAATTTTGTAGCTCCCTTTGTTTTTTGGCCAGATTTTTCTCTTAATTATTGGTTTTTGCTTCTCAATTCAGTAGAACTTTAAAAATTTTTTTATAAAAAAATTGTTAGTGGGAATCACAGCTTGTCTAGAGTGTCATATAGCTACATTTACATATGCACTCACATAAAGCATCTTTATGTTTGTTTATATATGAAATTGGTATATATCTATTAGACATGCAACCTGTAAAAAAGGAATCTGAACCACAAATAACAGGACACTAAACAGTGGCTCAAACTAGAAACCAGAGTAACTATCACCATAGGCTGTCCACATTATAGCAGTTATGGAGATTTTCAGTGTCATTATAAACCATTATTTTAACAGATTCTGCCAAAATCTGTTTCTCTCAAAATGGAACCTATTGGTATTGAAATTTTTCTGAAAATAGTATAAATTAATATGTGACTTAGATTCCTAGGTACAGCTGTCTCCCCACCTGACCCATACTGGTTGTAGGGCCCAGCATAAGTATGGAGGAAAGGTTTTTCTGATGAATTATTTGAGGTATAACTTTTAGTTATAGTCTATTTAAACATAATCCAGTGCTTTAGTTAACTTGTTTTTCTTGATCCCAGATGAAACAAGTTGGAAATTTACTATAACATTGTTTTGGACACTTGCCAAGAGCATTTAGTTACTGGAAGTCTTCTGGCTTTGGCATAGTTTTACCCTTACAATGGTAATAAGTTTGAAGTTACAGTAAGTTTTTCCAATGGTTATTATAATTCTAATGCAATACTTTACAGATCCTTGACTTGGGGAATAAGGATACTGTTTTTTGTTTTTGTTTTTTCATTTACAAACAAAAGGAGAAAAACAATAGATTTAGTTTCAAGTTATGAGTTATTATACTTTTTTGGGATCTTGAAACAGGTATTCATAGATCCCTTCTTAAAAATGATAAAGTGATTCTAATTCATTCAAAGGGCATTTAGGTTTTTTTAAAAACCCTAAATGGGTTTAGAGTGCTGATTATGATAATGTTTACTAAGTTGCATATATTCTTTGTAGCTTGTGACGTCTAATGCTTAGTGACGGTCTGCATGTGGTGTATCAAAACATTTAATAGAGCTCTTTACTGTATGCATATTAAACAATTAGTGTGGAGTCGCCAAGAGGCAGTAATTTTAATGTTTATAGTTACAGTTTTCAAAGAAGGGAAAGTCAAATGCTGTGGCTATTGCTGAAATGAGGATGACCTGAGACTAAATTTATCTGCTTAAAATTTTGATAAAGTAGTGGCATGGTTATAATGAAACTGTTGGGTTGGGCCAACTCAGTCTAACCTTGAGTCACTCTGACTCTCCACATCCAGTTATAGAATCAAGTTGATTATACTTCCTTTGTATCTGTATCAGTTGACTTCTTTTCATTATATACTATTCCCTTAACTTGGGCCTTCATCATTTCTGTCTTGCCACATCAGTTTCTTAACTAATTTTCCTGCTTTCAGTATTTTTTTCTTAAGTTACTTTTCACTCCTACCTGAGAGATCTTGCTAAAA